AATGAATAATGAATGCATGTGAGTTAAAGAGGGAGAATGTGGTGAAATGATGAAGTGGGAAGGTGGAAATGCATGTGAGATGTTGGAAAGGAATAAAGAATGAATGGTGGAATGATGAAGAGTTGCATAAAGAATGCATGTAGGGTTAGCTAGGTTGGCTTTGTTTGGGTGCATGTGTGTTAATGGTGGTTTTGCATGTGAATTGATGGATTGTTTTTGATGGAATGGATGGTTCTTTGCATGGCTTTTGAAGTGATTGTGGGCTTTGGAATTGGAAGGAAATGCATGGCCTTGGGGTTGGTTTAAGAGAGAATGGGCTAGGCCCTGTTTTATGTCCAAAATGAATACAAGGCCTTCAAATTCGTCCAACACTTTGGCTCCAATCATATGCTATCCATTCCAAGCCCAATTTTGCTCCAAAATGCTCCAAAATGCATCTTTTTGCTTCCTTAGCCATATGAACCTAAAAACACACGAAAATGGCTTAAACTACTAAAACAACTATGAATTAACAACATAGATGCACGAAAACAAGCTAAGTAAGTCGCCTAAATATGCTCCTATCACTTAACAGAAGCTAAGGAACTAAAGGATCGTAGGAGGAGGCACTTTCCTACAAAACCAATAGATTCGCTAACACTTACGAGTTTATTCATACTTTCATTAAGTATAACATAAGATTTTGTAGTATCCATTAGTGTAAATATTTTAAATTGAAGATCGAGTTCATTCATTGTATTCATATGGGATCATGGAGTGTAGCTATAAAAAATCATTAAAATCAGAGTTAAAAATCATTAAATCATAATTTTTAAATTGATAACCTTTGCAAAGTTTTGTTCCGTTACATGATCTTTGAATGTTTGTTTTTTGCGATTTTTGGCGTATGCGATCTTAAAACATATACAAACAAGTTTGACAGTTGGATCGTTGAAATTAGTTTCGTAGAATGCGTATCCCATCAAAACAATAGATTAACTAACACTTAAAGTGTGTTCATACTTTCATTAAGTATAACATAAGATTTTGTGGTATCCACTAGTGTAAATATTTTAAATTGAATATCGAATTCATTCATTGTACTCATAGGAGTGTAGCTGTAAAAAAATCATCAAAATCAAAGTTAAAATAACCGTGAAATTGTGATTTTTCGTTAGTAACCATCGAAAAGTTTTGTCCCGTTACTAGATCTCTGAATGTTTGTTTTTTGCAATTTTTGGCATATGCAATCTTGAAGCATATACAAACAAGTTTGACGATTGGATCGTTGAAATTAATTTCATAGAATGCATATCTCATCAAAACGATAGATTCACTAACACTTACGAGTGTATTCGTATTTTCATTAAGTATAATATAAGATTTTGTGGTATCAACTAGTGTAAATATTTTAAATAGAAGATCAAATTCATTCATTGTATTCATATAGGGTCAAGGAATGAAGCTGTAAAAAATCATCAAAATCGAAGTTAAAATAACCGTAAAATCGTGATTTTTCGTTGATAGCCGTCGAAAAGTTTTGTCCCGTTACTTGATCTCTGAATATTTGTTTTTTGCAATTTTTGGCATATGCGATTTCGAAGTATATACAACACGTTTGACGGTTGGATTGTTGAAACTAGTTTAGTAGCATGCGTATCCCATCAAAATAATAGATTCACTAACACTAAAGAGTTTATTCATACTTTCATTAAGTATAACATAAGATTTTGTGGTATCCACTAGTGTAAATATTTTAAATTGAAGATTGATTTCATTCATTGTATTTAAATAGGGTCAAAGAGTGTAGTTGTAAAAAAATCATCAAAATTGGAGTTAAAGTAACCGTTAAATGATGATTTTTCGTTGATAACCGTCGAAAAGTTTTGTCCCGTTACTTGATCCCTAAATGTTTGTTTTTTGCGATTTTTAGTGTATGCAATCTCGAAGCATATACAAACAAGTTTGACGGTTTGATCGTTGAAATTAGTTTCATAGAATGTGTATTCTATCAAAACGATAGATTCACTAACACTTTATTCATACTTTTATTAAGTATAACATAAGATTTTGTGGTATCCACTAGTGTAAATATTTTAAATTGAAGATCGAGTTCATTCATTGTATTCATATGGGATCATGGAGTGTAGCTGTAAAAAATCATTAAAATCAGAGTTAAAAATCGTTGAATCATAATTTTTCGTTGATAACCTTTGCAAAGTTTTGTCCTATTACATGATCTTTGAATGTTTGTTTTTTGCGATTTTTTGGCGTATGCGATCTTAAAACATATACAAACAAGTTTGACGGTTGGATTGTTGAAATTAGTTTCATAGAACGCGTATCCCATCAAAACAATAAATTCACTAACACTTAAAGTGTGTTCATACTTTCATTAAGTATAACATAAGATTTTGTGGTATCCACTAGTGTTAATATTTTAAATTGAATATCGAATTCATTCATTGTACTCATAGGAGTGTAACTGTAAAAAAATCATCAAAATCAAAGTTAAAATAACCGTGAAATTGTGATTTTTCGTTAGTAACCATCGAAAAGTTTTGTCCCGTTACTAGATCTCTGAATGTTTGTTTTTTGCAATTTTTGGCATATGCAATCTTGAAGCATATACAAACAAGTTTGACGATTGGATCGTTGAAATTAATTTCATAGAATGCATATCCCATCAAAACGAGAGATTCACTAACACTTACGAATGTATTCATACTTTCATTAAGTATAATATAAGATTTTGTGGTATCAACTAGTGTAAATATTTTAAATTGAAGATCAAATTCATTTATTGTATTCATATAGGATCAAGGAATGAAGCTGTAAAAAATCATCAAAATCGAAGTTAAAATAACCGTAAAATTGTGATTTTTCGTTGATAGCCATCGAAAAATTTTGTTCCGTTACTTGATCTCTGAATGTTTGCTTTTTGCAATTTTTGGCATATGCGATTTCGAAGTATATACAACACGTTTGACGGTTGGATTGTTGAAACTAGTTTAGTAGCATGCGTATCCCATCAAAACAATAGATTCACTAACACTTAAGCGTGTATTCATACTTTCATTAAGTATAACATAAGATTTTTTGGTATCCACTAGTGTAAATATTTTAAATTGAAGATTGAATTCATTCATTGTATTCAGATAGGGTGTGTAGTTGTAAAAAATCATCAAAATAGAAGTTAAAATAACCGTTAAATCATGACTTTTTCGTTGATAACCGTCGAAACGTTTTGTCCCGTTACTTGATGTCTGAATGTTTGTTTTTTGCGATTTTTGGTGTATGCGATTTTGATGCATATACAAATAAGTTTGACAGTTGGATCGTTGAAATTAATTTTGTAGAGTGTCTATCCCATCAAAACGATAGATTCATTAACACTTAGAGTTTATTTATACTTTCATTAAGTATACATAAGATTTTGTGGTATCTACTAGTGTAAATATTTTAAATTGTAGACTGAATTCATTCATTGTATTCATATAAGGTTAAGGAGTGTAACTATAATAAATCATCAAAATCGAAGTTAAAATAACCGATAAATAGTGATTTTTCATTTGTAACTGTCGAAAAGTTTTGTCTCGTTACTTGATCTCTGAATGTTTGTTTTTTGCAATTTTTGGTGTATGCAATCTCGAAGTATATGCAAACATATTTGACGATTGGATCGTTGAAACTAGTTTCATAGAATGCGTATCCCATCAAAACAATAAATTCACTAACCCTTAACAGTTTATTAATGGTTCATTAAGTATAATATAAGATTTTGTGGTATCCACCAATGTAAATATTTTAAATTGAAGACTGAGTTCGTTCATTGTATTCATATATAATCAAGGAGTATAGCTTTAAAAAATCATCAAAATCGGAGTTTAAATAACTGTTAAATCGTGATTTTTCGTTGATTACTGTTGAAAAGTTTTGTCCCATTACTTGATCCCTAAGTTTTTTGCAATTTTTAGTGTATGCTATCTCGAAGCATATACAAACAAGTTTGATGGTTGGATCGTTGAAATTAATTTCGTAGAATTCGTATCTCATCAAGTTCAATGGTGTGTGTGTGTGTATATATATATATATTTATTAAGTAGATTTAAATTTATTTATTTTTTACGTATAACGCTTAAGAAATTGAATGATATGTATATTTAAGCCGGTCCAATGATCACCAATTTTTAATATTTAATTTAATATATATATATATATAATTATAGTTTTTAGGGGTATAAAATTGTTAAATTAATATACATATATAATTATTATAATATTTTTTTAGGGTTATAAAATTATAAAATTAATATTTTGTTTATCATGTATCGTGTTATCCACGTGTATATCCGAACCAATCCATTATCTTAAAAGATGTTTATTAGGTTACTCTATAACGACCTAATTCGTTAACGTGTCGATCCGAACATCTGTTAATTTCGTGTCGTGCCGTATCATGTCGAATTATCGGATAATGTCAAGAATTGCTAGGCTTACCCAGAACAACCAAATAATGACTAACAAACTTAATTTCCCACTAACAACTAAATAATGACAATTATAATTAACTTATTTAATATTAAAAATGCACCAACATGTTCTTATCCGCGAGATTTCTTTTGGAGTACGATATCAGAAGGTAGTGCAGGCTGTGGGCTCTATCAGCACTGATGCTTTCTCTCTTAGTCCAATCACACAGGACATTAGACTGTGACTGTGCTCTCTCAATGGCACACAAATCTCGCATGTACGACGTTCTGCTAAGGCAGTGGCTCATAAATTAGCTAGAATGATTTTATTTTTTATTTGGATTCTTGTTAGTTGGAGGGACCACGCGATATTTGCAATGTCTTTCTAGCTCATTGTACCACTTGTTAATTGAATAAAGTCACTATCGTTTCTTCTCAAACAATAAAATAAATCAATTTGGAATTTGTTCATTGCGTTTAAGACAAATAAAAACATTATGTTATAGATTGGCATCTGCTTAAGTTTTTTTTTTTTTTTGAAAGCGCATCTGCTTAATTTTATTTATTTATTTACTTTTCTGAAAGCACATCTGCTTAATTAGGACTACATAAATTACGTTACATTTATCCATAAAATTATGAAGTAGCTGCAAACATTTAGAAATAAACTGTATATGCATAATTGCCAGAAAACTCATCATCACCCAGCTTTGATGAGTCCAATTCCGGCATGAAAATCAAAGCCTATGTGGTATAAGAGTACCATATGACAGTGGAGCTCGTGGCAGATGATCGGACTTCTTCTCATTTGAACCCGAATACGGCCTTTTACAAGGAATGTAAGTCATCTCCTTCTCGTTGGGACACTTTCTAGGCTTGGAGAAGAAAGTAGCACATTTCATTTTTGTTCTCTGATTTGGTTGGCCCAAAATGCAGTTCTTACTAACATCAAGTGTCTTTCTATCAACCAATTTCTGGCACTCTGGACCGATCGCGGTGAAATAGTTGTCTGCCAAAGAGAAGTTCCCAAGGGTAGACAACTTGCACACCATCTCAGGCACGGGTCCGTAGAACTGGTTCTTGGCTAAGTTTAGATACTCTATCTTGGCCAAGCAAGCAAACGAGGCTGGTATTGGGCCTGTTAAGACGTTGGAACTTGCATCGAACACGGTGGCCTGGTTTAGATACCCAATTTCGTATGGCAGACACCCTGTAAAGCGAAGTATTAAGTATTGATATCGAACAAAATATCTCCATATGACGAGTCGTTTCAGGGAGGTGAGGTGGAACGAAAATTCACCCAAAATTCGTTCCGTGGAACAGCTCGTTCCACCCATTTAAGGCGCACCAAACGTGAGACGGAACGCTTTGTCCCACTCTATTCTGTCCCGTCCCACGTAACAAACGGTACCTCATATCACGACATATCAACAGAATATTGGTAATTAATTGGCACATTCTAACCATCTTTTTCCTACAAATTATATGGAATTAATGTAAAATTTTCTTTTTTTTAAATTAGGAATGAGACTCTTCCAGCTCAGAACATATTAAGAGTAATACCACTAAACTAAGAGTTAATTAGTTGATCCCTATCTAATTTCTACAACGTTCCTTTCTTTTTCTTTTTTTTTTTTTCTTTTAACAAAAGAAATAAAGAGAGATAAGAGACTTAGACCGAATAAATTATGATGATATTATTGTTAGACCACCATACCTGAAAGTTTGTTCCCAAGGAAGAGAACTTCATAAAGGGTTTTGGATGCTTGGCCAATGCTTCTTGGGATCGGACCGGTGAAATGGTTGTTGGCAAAAGTGAAGTAATGGGCAGGTGAGGAGCCAAGATTGTCAGGGATCTGCTGAGTGAAATAGTTGTTGTTGAGGAAGAGCACATCAACTGCTAGTTCGAAGACTTTGGCTGGGACAGGACCGGTAAAGGAGTTGAACCGGAGGTCCAAAAATGTCAAATTTTTTGCTGTTAAAACTTCGTACGGAAACCCTCCAGTTAGCTTGTTGTTGCTGAGATCGAGCTCGTAGAAGTATCGAAGCATGGCAGGGCTTACCGGGGCTGAGCCTGTGAAGTTGTTGGAGTTTGCATGATAAAACACCAAGTCTGGTAACTCGTCAAGGAAGCCTTTGAGTGGAAGTATATTGTTGAAACCTGCGAACATAGCCCCGTTGATGTCTAAACCGGAAACTGCTTTCTGCTTGTAGACAGGATGAACTGCGCAGACGAAGCCCTTGTATTGGCAAACGTTTGTACCTCGCCATGTCTTTGTGAAGTCGTGTGGGTCGGACCTGATTTTGGCTACGAACTTCTGGATCACATAGTAGGCAATTTTAATTCGCTCGCTTTCAAAGGGGCCGGGGGAAAGTGGCGGCGGTGATTTTGGTTTTGGTGGAGGCTGTGGTTTTGGAGGCAGCGGTGGTGGCGGTGATTTTGGTTTTGGCGGAGGCTGTGGTTTTGGAGGCAGCGGTTGTGGCGGTGGTGGCAGCACTGGCGGTGGTGGCGGTGATGGAGGCGGCGGTGGTGGCAAAACTGGCGGTGGTGGCGGCGATTTTGGTTTTGGCGAAGGCTGTGGTTTTGGAGGCAGCGATGGTGGCAACACTAGCGGTGGTGGCCGTGATTGAGGCAGCGGTGGTGGCGGTGAGGGAGGCAGTAGTGGTGGCGGTGAAGGAGGCAACGGTGGTGGTAGCACTAGCGGTGGTGGCGGTGAGGCAGGTAGCGGTGGAGGGGGAAGAGGAGGTGGGCGTGGAGGGGGAGGAGGAGGAGGACAGTCTTGGTATTCGGGGGAAGGAGCAGGAGGGCTGGCCGCACCTATGATTATCTCCGAGGCTTCAACCTTATAATGGTACGAACATAAATGCACCAACAATGTTGAGATCAAAAGTGAAGAAATGAAAGAGAAGGCACCCATGTGTCTTTGTTTAAGCTCAAGGAGTGAGGAGTGGCTAGAAATGGTGAGGAGGAAATAATTTTGTTTAAGCTTGAGGAGGGAGGAGCAGCTAGAAATAGTGAGGGGATAATAATAAATAATAAATAAAAAAATAAAAATATATTTAGTATGCTAAGGGGACTAAGAGGGAAGACTTGAGAAAGAATAGTCAATAATCAAGGGCCATGAGTAGGCCTGGCAATTTCTGACACGACCCGATAACCCGACACGACACGATACGAAATTAACAGGTGTTTAGGTCAACACGATAACGAATCGAGTCGTTATCGGGTAACCCGATAAGCACCTGTTAAGATAACGGGTTAGTTCGGGTATACACGTGGGTAACACGATACACGATAATATTTGCAATGTCTTTCTAGCTCATTGTACCACTTGTTAATTGAATAAAGTCACTATCGTTTCTTCTCAAACAATAAAATAAATCAATTTGGAATTTGTTCATTGCGTTTAAGACAAATAAAAACATTATGTTATAGATTGGCATCTGCTTAAGTTTTTTTTTTTTTGGAAAGAGCATCTGCTTAATTTTATTTATTTATTTACTTTTCTGAAAGCACATCTGCTTAATTAGGACTACATAAATTACGTTACATTTATCCATAAAATTATGAAGTAGCTGCAAACATTTAGAAATAAACTGTATATGCATAATTGCCAGAAAACTCATCATCACCCAGCTTTGATGAGTCCAATTCCGGCATGAAAATCAAAGCCTATGTGGTATAAGAGTACCATATGACAGTGGAGCTCGTGGCAGATGATCGGACTTCTTCTCATTTGAACCCGAATACGGCCTTTTACAAGGAATGTAAGTCATCTCCTTCTCGTTGGGACACTTTCTAGGCTTGGAGAAGAAAGTAGCACATTTCATTTTTGTTCTCTGATTTGGTTGGCCCAAAATGCAGTTCTTACTAACATCAAGTGTCTTTCTATCAACCAATTTCTGGCACTCTGGACCGATCGCGGTGAAATAGTTGTCTGCCAAAGAGAAGTTCCCCAGGGTAGACAACTTGCACACCATCTCAGGCACGGGTCCGTAGAACTGGTTCTTGGCTAAGTTTAGATACTCTATCTTGGCCAAGCAAGCAAACGAGGCTGGTATTGGGCCTGTTAAGACGTTGGAACTTGCATCGAACACTGTGGCCTGGTTTAGATACCCAATTTCGTATGGCAGACACCCTGTAAAGCGAAGTATTAAATATCGATATCGAACAAAATATCTACATATGACTAGTATAGTGCTTATACATCATGGACATTCATATCACGACATATCAACAGAATATTGGTAATTACTTGGCACATTCTAACCATCTTTTTCCTACAAATTATATGGAATTAATGTAAAATTTTCTTTCTTTTAAATTAGGAATGAGACTCTTCCAGCTCAGAACATATTTTAACTTTAAGAAGAGCTATACCACTAAACTAAGAGTTAATTAGTTGATCCGTATCTAATTTCTACAACGTTCCTTTCTTTTTTTTTTTTTTTTTTTTTCTTTGAACAAAAGAAATAAAGAGAGATAAGAGACTTAGACCGAATAAATTATGATGATTTTATTGTTAGACCACCATACCTGAAAGTTTGTTCCCAAGGAAGAGAACTTCATAAAGGGTTTTGGATGCTTGGCCAATGCTTCTTGGGATCGGACCGGTGAAATAGTTGTTGGCAAAAGTGAAGTAATGGGCAGGTGAGGAGCCAAGATTGTCAGGGATCTGCTGAGTGAAATTGTTGTTGTTGAGGAAGAGCACATCAACTGCTAGTTCGAAGACTTTGGCTGGGACAGGACCGGTAAAGTAGTTGAAACGGAGGTCCAAAAATGTCAAATTTTTTGCTGTTAAAACTTCGTACGGAAACCCTCCACTTAGCTTGTTGTTGCTGAGATCGAGCTCGTAGAAGTATCGAAGCATGGCAGGGCTTACCGGGGCTGAGCCTGTGAAGTTGTTGGAGTTTGCATGATAAAACACCAAGTCTTGTAACTCGTCAAGGAAGCCTTTGAGTGGAAGATTTTTGTTGAAACCTTCGAACATAGCCCCGTTGATGTCTAAACCGGAGACTGCTTTCTGCTTGTATACAGGATGAACGGCGCAGACGATGCCCTTGTATTTGCAAACGTTTGTACCTCGCCATGTCTTTGCGTAGCCCTTTGGGTCGATCTTGATTTTGGCTACGAACTTCTTGATCACATAGTAGGCAATTTTAATTCGCTCGCTTTCAAAGGGGCCGGGGGAAAGTGGCGGCGGTGATTTTCGTTTTGGTGGAGGCTGTGGTTTTGGAGGCAGCGGTGGTGGCGGTGATGGAGGCCGCGGCAGTGGCGGTGATTTTGGTTTTGGCGGAGGCCGTGGTTTTGGAGGTGGCGGTGGTGGCGGTGATGGAGGCGGCGGTGGTGGCGGTGATTTTGGTTTTGGCGGAGGCCGTGGTTTTGGAGGTGGCGGTGGTGGCGGTGATGGAGGCGGCGGTGGTGGCGGTGATTTTGGTTTTGGCGGAGGCCGTAGTTGTGGAGGTGGCGGTGATGGAGGCGGCTGTGGTGGCAACACTGGCGGTGGTGGCGGTGATTTTGGAGGCGGCGGTGGTGGCGGTGATGGAGGCAGCGGTGGTGGTGGTGAGGGAGGCCGCGGTGGAGGGGGAGGAGGAGGTGGGCGTGGAGGGGGAGGAGGAGGTGGGCATGGAGGGGGAGGGGGAGGAGGACAGTCTTGGTATTCGGGGGAAGGAGCAGGAGGGCTGGCCGCACCTATGCTTATCTCCAAGGCTTCAACCTTATAATGGTACGAACATAAATGCACCAACAATGTTGAGATCAAAAGTGAAGAAATGAAAGAGAAGGCACCCATGTCTCTTTGTTTAAGCTCAAGGAGTGAGGAGTGGCTAGAAATGGTGAGGAGGAAATAATTTTGTTTAAGCTCGAGGAGGGAGGAGCAGCTAGAAATAGTGAGGAGATAATAATAAATAATAAATAAATAAAAATATATTTAGTATGCTAAGGGGACTAAGAGGGAAGACTTGAGAAAGAATAGTCAATAGCCAAGGGCCATGAGGAAACAGATAAAATTGGCCCCAAAAATGTTGTCTGAGGCCGAGAGTTGAGCTCTCATTGTGAGACAGACAAACACTACTGTTATTCATTATTGTTTGTCATTCACTATGATTCCTTGCATTATTTTTATATTTGCTTTATAAAATGTATAGGTGCCTATCAATAGTTTTACTAGATTGGCCTTTACTAAAAAGATTTATACAAGTGATTGGAATCGGAGGAAAAATACACCACTTGAAGATTAAGAGCTACAACTTGTTTTGAATGGGAGTCACCTCATTTCACACGGAGTTGGAGATTTCAACTTCTCATTTCCACACAAACAAAAAATCCATCTTGACTTCCAAGTCCATGCCCGATGCCCTACAATGGTGCAATTTTTTTTGGAGGGTACCAAAAGCACTTCTGGATTGTTTTAACACATGATAGACAAGTGTGAATTTTGAGGGTTTAGGATAATACTTGCATTTCCCAATAACTAAAAGAATAATACTTGCACTTCCTACTATGGAACATAAACTCACTCTACCACTTGCAAATAACGTATATGCATCGTAAAAATTAAATTGAAATCGCTCAATTTCTAGCCTTTATTTGGAGATCATTCTTAAGAAAAAAAAAATCATTTGAATCAGATATTATTTAGTTATCTAGAATATTTAGGACATGTTTTTGCCCCCGATTGAAAATATAACATTATGAAACCCAATATGTCACTTGAATCAAAGATAATTGATGGGCAACAACTTCTAATATACAGATTAGATTATAGAAGTTGAGTACGACTGTTTACTAGGAGAATACGAGTATAATTAATAGCCGTTAGGCTGAGGAGGGAAATCTAAATGTCATTAATCGACCAAATAAATCCCAATTATGAAATAAACAAACCTGTAAAAACTTGACAGGTCCATCAGTTCAAAACCAATTTTTTGCCAAACTCACGATAGAGAAACATGCAACTTATAATACATTTAGGATGGTGTTATCTACGTTCTTTTTTACATTGAGAATAGTGTTATCTCTGTTTTATTTATTTATTTATTATTATTTTAATTTATTCGATTTATCGGGTGAAAATTAAGAGAATGTGAAAAAAGGAAAATAAGGTTAGCACCAACCTATATTTAGTTTGAATACTTCAAGTGGTATTTCTCTTCACTTATAAATGAAATGTCTTAGGTTTGATTCGTACTAAAGACGAATCTGAACCATATTATTGTTAGTTTATTGTAAGGTTAAATTCACATTTTATTCCTTAGTGTAAATAATATCGTTTTATTAAAAAATAAAAAATTCAATCATGAAATGATATTTTTCATATTTATATTTTACGTGGAAAGCGGCTTCGTACAGTAGGTTATGCAGTGCCTTTAACCCTTTAACTTTGTAGTACAGTGTTTGCTGGGCAAAGTAGCACCTTACCTGGGGCCTCTCCTCCACCCAATACAAAAGCAAAGTTCGACTTCTGCAAAAGAGGAAGTATATAATGTTATGTTTAAGTGCTTTGCAAAGGATCGTTAAGGGTGCAGTTAGGGCTGGGTTCAATTCAAATTGGTTCGGTTTTTTGTCAAAATTGAAATTGAACCGAAATTTTGATTCGGTTTGGTTCATTTTTTTCAGTTCGGTTCAAATTTTTTTTTTTTTTTTAGCAAAAAATGAAAAAAAATTGAAATCTTAAAACATTGATGGCAAGTCTTTCCTCTAACTGGGTTATAAATCCGCTTTCCATCTTTTCCATAACCATCCACAAACATAGTCCAGGTCTTATCAGTGTTGCCCAACAGCTTCTCATCCGTGTAAATCTCCGGCCTATCACCCTCGTCCAGCTTTATGCCTTTCATGTACGAAGCCTCATCCTTCCTCGACACATGCACGTCTGCGCAGCTCACTGGTGTCGCATTCTTCAATCTGAACCCATAAACCAAATCATGAAAAAAGCAAAAGAAATCAACTTTAACAAAATTGAAGTAACTGAGAACTCAATCCACATTCTCCAAAATCAAGTACCAAAAAGCATGCACAATCAGATCAGCTCCAAACCAACCACAATCACAGACCTGGTCGAATAAAGATTCAATCTTTAAACCAAAAACGAGTGTAATTTTTCAAAATTTGAGAACCCATCAAACATTCAAAACCAGAAACAGTAAAAAATCCACCAGAATCAGAGACCCATTTGGTTAAATATTCTAATTTCTAAGGGCAAATAATGTTCATAATCCAAGAAGTTAACAGAGGGCATGGAACGATTACCTAGAAGAACTACGAGTGGATCCTACTGACCGAATGGAAGGGGGTCCAAACGGTGTCGTACTTCGGCCGGAATAGCTCTTAGTTAATCTAGTCGACTGAATGTTAGATTTGAGCTGAAGAGAGATATCAACGATGCAGAGCTTTTGCATTCTTTCGCGGTTTTCTCTGATTAGATCTTCTCTGGACTGCTCGTACAGAGACTTGGGGGTTTGGAGAAAGAGAGGAAGAAACTAAGAAAGCAGAGCATGGAGGTGCAATAATTTAACGGAGAGAGAGAGAGCGAGGCTGGGAAGTCCGTTTTTATACCGCATACCCTACTATTTTTTTTTTTATTTTGACACCAACAAATAAAGTGGGGTGATCCAGATTTTTCGCGGTTGTCCAAGAATTTCAATATTTGAATTGAGGGTGTAAGACTTATCTGATCTTATCATTTCTTTGAATTTTTTTTTTTCAATAAATAAGTTGGCTGAAGCAATCACTCTTAACTTGAAGGTTAGGGGTTCGAAACACCTGACCTCCAGATTTTGAGAATTTGTTACAAATTTATATAATTAATATATCTTAAACAATTAAATATATAAATAAAAATTGATTCGGTCCGGTCCGCTTTCTAGACCATCAAAATTGAAATTAAACTAACCTATTTTGTTTCAAAATTTTTCAGCTTTGGTTCGGTGTTCGGCTCGATTTTTTTCGGTTTTTGGTTTTTCAAACCCACCCCTAGGTGGAATGCCATGAGCAACACGATTTATTTTACTCCATGTATGGTTGATAATATATGGGTTGTTCAGATATAAGCCTATACAATCATATACCTCGGATAAAAACTGACACACTCCGACCGAGATCAGGGCATGCTGGCCGTCACGTGGAAGTGACGTAATCATGTGCACAATGCGGAAGCTAATAAATAATAATAAATGTACGAATAAATAAAAACCAGCTATACACAAAGTAAGAACATACATGTGCAAGCGTAAGTGTGAAAAACAAAGTTCAGAGCACGGAAGACCTAGTGCAATCCGGGAGAAACAACACTAAATAAACACACCCAAAGGTGGTCCTACACTGGTGATAATCTGTCAGATATGCCGGGAAAATCCTCTGGGGAGCCACCAAAAGTGCTAGCCAACTAGAACCTGGAAGGGCACAAAACAGAAAGCGTGAGTGGGCAAAAATAAAGCTTTTCAAAAACCATTTCATAAACAAAGTTCTAACCCCTCGCCGTAAAACCTGTATACTTCCCAGAAAATAGAATATACATATATATAAGTCATGCCCGGAAATATGCCATGTCAAATGCCTCTAAGTAGAATGCAAGTGCTCAGGAAATGTCAAATCAATGCCATGTGATTTGGCAGCCGGAGTCACCTAACGTGACCTGTATGGCTGAATCTAGAGCTCAAAATCTCCATCTCACTAACTATACCTGCACACGAGTCGGAACCACCTAAAGTGGTCTGTACGACAGGACTGGGTGTATAATAAGTACGCTTAAGTGCTACGATCACGTGAAGGCTGGGCTAATAATCGCGGGTCACTTACGAGTCGGAACCACCTAAAGTGGTCTGTACAACGGGACTGTGCACCTAACTTGGATCCAAGATGAGCGTGTGGTGCGGGAGGTGAACATCACGTGAAGGATTGTGCCCAACTATGGGCGGGAGCACTAACACCGGGGGTGCAGGTTATGAGCTCTCTATGCATCTCAAATCACTACTAAACATAAACATAAACCATAACTCACTTGGCACTTACCTGTGCGTCCGCATCACCAACACATAATACATATGCAACTAATAATGCATAAATAAATGGCAAACGATATGCATGGCATATAAACGTATAAACGTTTCATTTCACTTTCTGGGAAAAACATAAGTATATAGGTATATACGGAAAACCAAAAGCCCACTCACTGATATGTAGAAGGGTCGTAACCCCTTTGCCTCAGTGACCACGCTCGTCCTCGGGATAGGTCTCACCTATATGCGAAACAACTATAAAAACGTTAATTTTAAAGCACATAACCAACATCACAAATAACTTCTCATACAATGCTCAAATGGGGTGTATGAATACACCAATGTGATCTACTCAACCTCAGGAACATCCCCATATTTTTAGAAAAATTTTCCGACGCCGCATGCGCCCTCACGCACCGGCCAAGGCACGGCCACATGCACTGCCCACGCACAGGCACGTGCCTGGCACACTGACGGCGTCAGTTAACGCCGTTAGGAATATTCCGTCCAAACTGACGGAATATTTCGTCATCTTCTCTGTCCAAACTCCGGCGCCGGCGCCGGAAAACCGGGAAATTTTTGAAACCTTGTATCTTCTTCGTTTTTCAACCAAATTTCACAAAATTGGTACCAAAATGAAGCTTACAACAAGAGGAACAAATCCATACCACTTTCAAGCACTAAAACCCACGAAAATTCGTCGGGAAAACACCACCAACTCCGGCCAGCCCTGCAACTCTCTCTCTCTCTCTCTCTCTCTCTCTATACACACTTAATGCCTCGTGATGATCCCATGATAACATTTCTGAGGATAATCATGCAGTCTCCACTTGATCAGTTAGTATCTTTTCTAGATTTATTTGGAGTACCTACCTGAAATTTTTAAGAGATGGAAATATATTTTTATGCAAAATATATATGTTCCTTATGTCAGATGCATCAAATACAAGTGTACCAGAGCAAAACAATTTTGAGCTAAATTCACCTTTTGCTTTACTCTAACTTTTTCCCACGAGAGTCTCATGATGTTGTTGTTTGGTGGTAATAATGATTTTAATCACTCAACACTTAGGCACCCACATGCAGCCAAAGCATAATGTTTTATTACTGCTCTGTGTTATTTCATATGGTTTAAACAGATGTTATATATTGTTTCCATAACTTTCCCATGTGGTTTGGCTGCATTGCACCCTTTCTTGATTTACTTTGCTGTTTAAAGAAATGTTCGAATATCTTATCCTGGGATATGTGCAGGACAAGTACAAAGTACATAACCTTTGTTCTGAAAGGCTGTATGACGCGTCTTTATTTGAAGGAAAGGTGAGTTATGATTTGTCACTTTGGTTGTGCTAATGATTTTTATTTAAACCATTCAAATTAGTGATCCGAACTGAGACAGGCTGGACGTTCAAGCATGGTTAGTTTATTATTGTGCTTGAAAAATCATTGTATTTAACTAGAACTCTCTCAAGCACCTTCTCATAGAAAACCATTTGCACTTCCCTCTTGGTTGATCCTCCAAAGGAAAAACAATTTAACAAGAAATCAGCCTTGAATTAATGATTTTGATTTTCAATCAATCTATTTTCCAATTTGTTGAGAGAATGAAATCATTTATTCAGATGTTAATCGTAGGAAAAAGCCTCTTTTCCTGGGCTGCTCGAGATATTTTACATTGGATATACACGGTACAATTTGGAACTTAGTGCATATTAATAATAAATGTTTTGCGCTGAAGGAAATAAATGTTGATGGTATTGGAATATTGAGAACATAGGCTAGGTTTGTAGAAGCGACCAGCCCTTTATGGTTGTAACCTAACTCAATGATTTTATGGAACTCCACATTTACGTTATATTCTTACAGATCTGTTATAAAAGTCTTAAAATTTTTAGCATCAACTCTATTTTCCTGGCAATAAAACTTAAGGAATGTTGCGTTATTACTTCCTCGAATATAACCTTTCCATTGAACAAGAATAAAATAAAATACCAGGCTAAACATAGGTAATCACATGCATGTGCTGTTTCTGCAATTGTAATTATCCTTGCAATGGTTTTCCTACAGTTTTTTATTTTTGATTTATCATTTTGCCTGCAGGTGGCTAGTTTTCCATTTGATGACCATAACTGCCCACCAATTCATTTAATAACATTATTTTGTCGAAGCGCTTATGCATGGCTGAAAGAGGATATTGAGAATGTTGTGGTTGTGTATTGCAAGGCCGGAATGGCAAGAACAGGACTGATGATTTCCAGTCTTCTTCTATACTTACAGGTAAGTTTCTTCATAGTATTGTTTTGGAAGATGTGAAGACGAATCTCATGGAAAAATAAGTTAGTGTATCAGTATCATATTGTATTTTGCTTAATTCTTTGGACTTAATTTCCTTCTCTGCAGTTCTTTCCGACCACTGAGGAGTCTATTGACCACTACAACCAGAAACGATGCTTTGATGGAAAAGGGCTTGTTCTGCCAAGTCAGATTGTTAGTAGTATTTACTATATTTTCTTTGAGAACTACATATCTTGATATCTTACTTGTTTTTGTAACATCATGACTGTTGGGCTAAATTTTTCTTTTTTTTGGTTGTTTATTCAGAGGTACATTAAATATTTTGAATGCATCTTAACATACTTCAACGGTGAAAACCCACCTGGGCGCAGGTATACTTCTGGCTATATATCTCTATTGTAGTATATTTTATATTACACATTGACACAGAAACTTTTTGTATCATATGCAGGTGCATGCTTAGGGGATTTCGGCTTCATAGGTGCCCGTACTGGATAAGACCCTCCATGACTGTATCTAATCATAATGGTGCGTTTCCATCCTTGGTCTGTCTATTTGCAACCTTCACTTTCCTACTATGCTGTCCTCGGATGTTTCCACTATCAAAATACATCTGTTATATTTACCTTATTTACCTTTGTCTGCATAGGGTTATCTGCTAGAGAAATCTCTCGCTGCACTAGTTCTTTATTCCAAGTATTATTGCAATTGTTGAACATTGAAAGATGTCTTAACTCAACACCAGCAGATTCTTGACCCTTGTTTTTCTTTACTAAATAGTAAATTTTTCTTTTTTTTGTGTTTTTTTTAAAAAAAAAAAAAAATTATTGTAATTAAGGGGAAGGGGGAAGATTTGAAACCATTACAATAATTTAGGGGAGGGGGGAGTTTTGAACTCGGGACACATGGGTGGAAATCCAACACCGTATCCACTAGGATATTGGATAGTAAATAATATACCTCAAAACTCTGAAAATTTCATTACATGAATGTTGGACGTTTGAGATAAAAAGTGAGAGTAAAAGAACCAAATAATCAATGAGCTCATTGCCATACTTGGAGCTGCCCTGGAGCTGATCTCAACATGCATCTATGATGCAAATTGAACAATGTCGTACTGATGCCTGCAGATGCTTATAAAAGCTTGAAACCCATGTTGGATAGAGTTTTAAGTCTGCATAGTTTGTATGTCATGTTTATTAGCTTATTACCATGCTGATGGTTTTCTTTGATACTCCCTCAGGTGTTCTCTTCTCCACGAAAGATCATCCTAGAACAAAAGGTCTTTTGGTAGATTTTTCTCTTGGATAACTATTAGATACAAGTTTTATCCATGGTTCTGCCTTAATTCCTTTCAGCTCTCTTCTGTCATTTTACTAATTTGGGTTTTGCATGTAAATTATATCTACAGCCAGAAGATTATTGGTTTTCTGCTCCAAAGAAGGGTGTAATGGTCTTTGCCCTGCTGGGGAAACTGGGTTTGACAGAATTAGTTGGGGAGTTCAAAATCCATTTTCACAACCATCAAGGAGATTTTTACTGGTTTGGTATTTTCCTCCCCGTTTATTTTGTGCCTTCTTCTTTTATGTTTTCATATTGTAATTGTTATTTTTACTTCCAGCTGGCTGAACACAACGATGACAGAAAATAGAAAAGT